GTTTATCAGAGGCTGCGGCTAAGAAATGTATAAAGTGTTAAAAAGCACGCGTTGCTCATTGAATCTTTTGCTTTGCCATGTCCTCGTTGCTCTCGTCGTAGTGGTAAGCCATTTTCGATATATCAAAATACTACTATGACTCTGAGGCTAGGGGGGGAATAAAAACAAAAGAAATAAATTTGTCATACATCAAACTCGTTATGATTTCTTTTGTTTAATTTCCCCAAGCCTCGTAGCCAAGTTTGAATTTTGATATATTGAAATGGCCTATTAGTGGTGGTCTCCATGGCAAAGAGCAATGATCGTAAGCCGGAAATTGATTTGGAAACGAGGCAATCGTCCCACCCATATAAGAGGCAATCACGCCCTGATCACGATTTGAGAACAGCCGCCGTGCCTTAACATGTCTACAATGGCTCGCATGGGGATTTTTTGCTTTCTTTTTGTCTGTTTGTTAAGCTCAGGAAGTGCTAAATCCTCCTGTTCAGCAGACTACGAATGTGAAAGTGACGAGAAATGCTGTTATACCAAATGTATCTACAGTCTGTCTTCTTGTTCCTGTTCCTACGACTACGAATGTAAAATTGGTGAGCAACGCTGTAATGGCGGATGCATCAGTAGTTTGCGTTCTTGTCCCTGTTCGAGCCACTACGATTGTATTTCTGGTAAGCTGTGCTGTAATAGAAAATGCACGGAAGATCTGTCTTCTTGCTCCTGTTCGTACGACTACCAGTGTGTAATTGGAGAGCGTTGTTGTGGGGGAGAGTGTTCGTCATATTGCACTACTGGTTGGAGCGACGGAGCTTATGCAGGCGCCATTGTCGGTCCAATTATCTTCCTCGCCATCATCATTTCTATTGTATCGTGTTACTGCTGTGCTTGTTGCCCGTTCTACCGCTATCGTAAACATGGTACCGTGGTCGAAACCCAACAGCCGCATCAAGAATTTGCCTCAACTGAGACACACATGATGACGGAGGAAATTAAAGCTCCTTAGCCGGTCAACTTTAACCAGCCAACACCAAATTACAATCAACCACTAGCCGCTTATCCACCACCCTATCCAGCTTCGCAGCCTCCGGCTCAGGTAAAGGGGCAAGCCGTTTCATGCCGCTTTCTGAACCAGCCAAATACTGAGACATCTAAAGTAAACTAACACGGAAACAACTCTATTTAAATTCAGTTCAAGAGGCAACTCCTTTTTAAGTTAAGAAATGGACTCCTGTATGCATAATAGGAAGCGATATTTTTAGAGAATGAAGTTAGATGAGAAAAGTTATGATGTGCGGCGCCAGGTTCTTAAGTAGTCGTCGATTTCTCAATCATAAGCTACAGTTTCCTTCTTAGTCAAACTGCGTGACAAGCCAAGTAATTTTCCTGGAAGTTTGTTATGTAAATTTGCTCCAGTTACAGTTTCTGACCAACATTTAATTTGGTTTTTCAAGAAATATTTTACCACAAAGTTAAGGCCTTTGTTTTGTACTCTATAGAGAACAGAAGATAGATTCTTGTCCTTCTAATTTTGCAGAGATGATAAGGAAAAAGTCCTCCCTACCCCATTCCCCTTGGTTTTTTTTTTGTTTTACTGAGAGATTTTCGTCGTTCTAATTTTGCAGAGATGATAAGGAAAAGTCCTACCTACCCCATCCCCCCTTGTTTTCTTTTCGCCTGACACCCAAGAAACCTTTAAGCATGCTACGGAAATAACTAAATCCCATAGCTTATCTTGATTTATGAACTGTTTTCAGAGGATGTTTATTGTCTTGCCATTAAGAATTCCGGTTTTGCTTTCTCTTTGGCAATTAATATAATGTCAGTTTTCAAATTTGACTTTGGTAAGCAGATATTACTAACCTTTGCCAGGCGCCGAAAAAACTTTGTTAGCGTTTTCCATTTTTTCCTTGAAAGTTTTTGATGTTTCAAAGAAAAAAATCTTTACAAAGGATTTTTAATCAGAAACAAAGTCACACTATTTTAAGTTAGGAAGCTTAATCTTATGAATATAGCGGCGCGGGATCTCCAATTAAAATCAAGTTTCCTTAGTTTCTCTTTTCAAATTAGCATCATTTTTATAAATAATAAAGCTGAATTGCATTTGTGAAATGTTATGATTGATAGACAACTGACTTTTTCTGAACATTTGGAGTATAGGTCCCATCCCCGAAAGAAGGAAAAGAGGGACTGGGACTAGGTTAGGGTGTTTCAAGGTGGCGAATCGAATTCGGAAAAAAACGGCTCGACTAGAAGTATCGGTGTGAGGAAACGGTATGGTGAAACGTCATAACGAAACGACGAGTCGAACATTTTGTTCACCATCTACCTTAAAAGAAAACGCGGGCAACCAAGTCGGGATTGGTTTTAGTTTTGCATCTGATTGGTCGAGAGATTGGCGCCAGTTTTATCGACCAATCACAGAGCGAAGCACAGCTAACATTAAGCAGTCCCGTCACTTAATTGAAAATTTCTCCAGGTTTTGGACAGTTTCTGTCTTCTCATTTCTGTATGTCTTACTGACTCCTATAGGCATGGTTGGGCGCAATGTTGCATAGTACGATTTTTACATCGGAGTAGAATTAGAGAAAATTCATGCTTGCCATCCTAAGATTTAGCGTGTTAGTGTGGTTATGTCTTTTACGGCCAACAGTTAATTTATTTCAATTGTGGCCATTAACGTTTAAAGTTTGTCATTTTTAGTCATAACGCACATATTTTTTTTTTAAGCCGTTTTACGGTTATCGGTTAACCCGGCCAATTGAGAGTTTCAAGATTCTTATTCAAGTGTAGATTTCTCGAATAAGAGCTATAATTTCCTCGTTAACCGAATTGTGTGACAAGCAAAGTATTCTTCCCTGAAATGCATGCATGGTAACCTTCCCGGATGTTCGTGATTCAATTGGCCCATCTATAACTTGTCGTACGGTTTTTCATTGGTCGTGTGTATGTATGTAGTCATGTCCTTCGTTCTTGTTATTGAAGAATTTATCTTAATGTTAGTTTCCCTCCCGCCTCGATAAGCTTCGCTATGTTTCGGGTAGGGATTGTAGATAAGTATTTAAATTCAGTTGCTAAAAATAAATAAATTTTGTTGTTTTGTTTTTAATTTGCTCTTTTGCCGGATGCTTGTGGAAATACAGTGAGTTGTTTTATTGATATGTTACCATAGAGTCGAAACCTTTGTTGATAATATTACTGTTTCATTTACTTTAGAGAGGGCAAAAGATCAATTCTCACCATTAGAGAGGATCTTTCCTACCCCCTCCCCCTCGTTCTATATTTTTGCCGGTCACGCTGGAAACCTTACAAGCCGCGCAAGTAATCGATCGCCTCTCTTTCCACTGGAAGAAACCATTCATTATATTTATTATGCCGCCCATCAAAGCTCTCATGGAAGACCAGATACAATGAACTTGAGTTAAGAGGATTGTCCGCCTTCAACCTTCGGTCTCTTTGAGAACTGTGCTGCTAAGCCAATAACGCTCATTCTTTCTTGCAGCAATCCTTTCGACCGAAACATGAGTCGCTCTTTCTTCACACCTGGGGCGTAACTATCTCTGAAAGAAATCTGATTTTGCGGCAAATGATCGAGCGTTTTTAGACAACCGTGGCACTTTCCATATACGTAAGAGACTGCGTGTACGTTGAAATCTAGTTTCGTAAGCGGGATGCAAATCAAAAATCATTCTCTTCTTAACCTATACCAAAATCGCTCATAATCTTTTTCTATATTCTAAAGGAAAGTTTAAGTTTGAACGCCGACACTGAATTGCAAATTTGAAATTTGAACGCGGACACGGAATTGCAAATTTTTCTACAAAAATTCACTTAGATGTTGTGATTTACCACGATTACATCTCACGCTAGCACTTAACCACTTCCCAAAAATATTAACAAGTTACATAATTTTGCATAGATTAGATTGACATCGCAAAACACGATTTGCGTCAGGTTTTCGTAGACGTTCCCTTCCTTCCGTTTCTCCCGAGCGGCTAGAGTAAGGCTACACGTTGGTCATATGAAGATCCAACATTTACAAATGACTATGTTTTTCTTGAATGACGAGAGGTTTGACAGATCTCTGATGTCTTTGGGATTCTTTGTTTAATATTTGGGCACTCGTTTCAATCATAGCTTAAGCCTGTCTTTAAGTGTACTGAACAATCCTTGTTACATGCTTCTGTAAATACGCCTTATTTAATGGCTTAACATATAATGCGTGCGGATATTTCAATTTGTGAGTTGCGTAGTAATGAGTAAAATGTTCGCTTGTATTTAACAATTATTCCACGAGCGCGCATTGGATGAGATGATAGATAGCCAACGAGGCGCGTAGCACCGAGTTGGCTATTATCATCCCATATCCAACAAGCGCGAGTGGAATAATTGTTTTATTAAAAACGCCCCCAAGGAATTATTATTTTATAAGAAGAAACCGGATTTTTTAGCTCCCTTTTGATTTTAAGCTGACGCTACGCTTACCATATTTGTAGACTATGGGATATTGGCTCATATACCATAATGGCTAAGCCAATAAAAAGTCTGAATTGCTTTATCCAATGATCCAGTTTTTTAATAATATAGGTTAACCCTCAAATAAGGGAATTATCATTCCACTATTTTTCCATTTTTGAGACTAGTTTGTGAAATACATCCTAAGGTCTCATCTGTACATCGTACCATTGCATAAGAGGTACGCACAAAAGTGGAAAAGAACCAGTCACGCTCAAAAACTCGCTTCCTGTTAGTAAATCCTAAAAAAGCAACAACAACAAAAAAGTTCGGATCCTATAGTAAGGCCATTATGTCGTACCGTGCATTTTCCCCGCTCTACAGTGTAATACCGTGGCATATTTTGTGCGTTCTCATGACCTTAATTGGTAAAACGACGGAATTTTTCATCTTCCCTTCAACTTCCGCCTTCCGATTCCCCTTTATACTCCCCTCCCCCCTCCCCCCCCCGCTCAATCATGTATGCTCCTTCTGGGAGTTTCCATGGCAAAGAGACAATGTGGAAACCAGCCAATTGCATCGCAATTATCTCTGAGATATCAAACAAACGCCATCGTCAAACAGACGCCATCGTCAGATAGACGCCATCGATATTGTGAAGAGGACAATGGATTTCAAGGAAGTTTTATGCCTCCTTTTCATTTGTTTCTTGGCTTTGGGAGATACTAAATCCTGTACCTTCGACAGTGGGTGTTCCTTCGGTGAGTCCTGTTGTACAGATAAAGTCTGCAGAGAAAGATGTTACGTCTGTTCGTACGACTACCAGTGTGGAACGAGCGAGCAGTGCTGTACATATAATAGCAAATGCATCAGTAGTTCGTCTTCTTGTTCCTGTTCGTCCGACTACCAGTGTGATATTGGAGATGATTGTTGTGGGGGAGTTTGTTTGTCGACGTGTGGTTGGAAAGGCGGGTCTATTGCAGGCGCCACTATCGGTACAATTATCTTCTTTGCCATCATCATTTCCATTGCATCTTGTTGCTGCTGTGCTTGTTGCCCGTACTACCGTTATCGTACGCCCGGTGCTGTAGTCGTCGCTCAACGGCCGCAACAACAATTCATTTCAGCTCAGACACACACGATGATGACGCAGCAAGTACAAGCTCCTCACCCGCTTAACTATAATCAGCCTCCAGTTTATTATCAGCCTCCTCCAGTTTACAACCAGCCACCACCCGCTTATTTACCACCTGGTCCAACTCCTTATCCTCCAGCCGAGGCACAAGGACAAGCGGTTTCGATTCCGCCTTCCGAACCGGCGGTCAAGTACTAACTAAAGATGTCTGAAGCAACTCAACATGAACACAAACGGCAACTCATTTATGTAACGCATTTATGTACGACGCAGACTCCTAAATGCATGGTAGGGCCCAATTTCGCATTGAATAATTTGCATGTTGGAGTAGAATTACAGAAAAGTTATGCTTGCCATCGCAAGATCTTTATCCAACGGTGGATTTCTCGAATATAAGCTACAATTTCCTCTTTAGCCAAATTGCGTGACGAGCAAAGTAGTTTTCCCGGAATTTCCAAGCAGAGTAGTCTTCCGGGATGTTGTTGTTTTTTTAATTTCCGCTTTTTACGGATGTTTGCGCAGGAACAATTAGTTTTTTGAGGGATATGTCTCGAAAGACTTTAGGCCTTTGTTGATAATGTTCCTATTTACTCTATAAAGGGCAAAAGGTTGATTTTCATTGTAAGAAAAATTCCCCCCCTACTCCGTCCCCTTCGTTTCATATTTTTGCTTGTCATGCTGGAAACCTTTCAAAGTGCTACAGAAATTTCGTAACCGTAGAGGTTATTTTAATTTCAAAACTTTCTCATAGGATGTAATTTGCTTTACCGGAAAGCTTTTCCTTTAGTGAGACTGTGTTGAAAAGAAATTCAGTTTTCGCTCTATCTTTGGCAATCTGACTTTGGTAAGCAGATATTGTAAATTTTTTTTAGGTGCAAAAAATTTACAATTTGGTATTTTTTACGTATGATGTGCGATCCTCGCAGTAGATAGCGCTATTTATGCAATAGCGAAAATCAGACCTGAAAAAAATCAGGCCTGTACGGGACTCGAACCACTGACCTCTGCGATACTAGTGCAGCGCTCCACCAATTGAGCTAACAAGCCAACTGGGAGCAGGCCGTTGTTGATTCGTAATAAACCCGTGAAAGTGATAAATGAGATGCAATGAATATATGAAGTTCATATATTAGTATTTTTTATTAATAAATTTTTTGAGTCGATGTTTTTAAATTTTTTTTTTCATAAAAATGTAAGTGAGAAGTAATCAACTAATATGAGTGTTGTATGTACTTTTAAGAGAATTTTTACTCAGCAGAAGAGTCATTACTTCAAAATAAGGAATCTTATTTTCTACTTTTTGGAGTGGCCTTTATATTTAATAAAATTGAGTTGCGTTTGTAAATTGTTGTGGACTTTTTCTGTGCAGCAAGATGATGGCAAGAAACTTGCTTTTAAAAAAGTGGGTGTTCATGAATGTGCATGTAAATAGCGGAACTGTTTTCTTGTTGTTATAGAAACTACTAATTTTATCAGAGTATTTTCCATTGCGTATTCCCTTATTGTTACAAAAAACCCCTTAGATTGTTTAACCTTTTCCATCAGGCCCAGAAGTTAAACCAATTAGATCTAAATCATTCGCTTTCTCCAAGGGTGTACAGCTTCTATCTTACTCTTGGTAGCTCAACTTGTGGAAACTCGCATCTTGTAATCTGGATATGATGGCAGACTATCCCCATACGGATCATATAGTTTATGGGGGAAAAATCAGCCCCACCCCTCTCCACTTAACGTTAACTCCAAGCGCCCAAAAATTAAACGCAAATCATGTAGGATTTCAGAAATCCTGTGGGTACATCATATGGGTATAGTTTGAGTTTTTAAGCGCGAGATTCAGCAATACGAATATTCCGTCGCCACATTGGGAATCGCACGGGTGGAAGATCTAGGACGACTGACAAACCGAGGGGGAGGGTAAAGGAGAGAAAAAAAAAAAAACAGAAAAACTGCCTGGCCGAAAACCCATAATTTCTCAGGACAAAAGTCCAATCCCGTCCACCAGCGGATGGGTGTCCTAATTGGTTGAGTTGGTGTTAAAAGAACAATAAGATATTATTTAACGGTCAGAGTTGGTTACGTAAAAAATAAGCGCGCAAGAAGAGCGTTGTCTTTTTTAAACTCGAGATAGTGGAAAAAACGGTTGTTTTGAAGCCAGAACAGGAACCGTTCACCAGCTGTGATGGGGAAAAGATTTCTTAGTAGTTTTAACTACAGGCTTCGGAAAAAGTATGATTTTCACCGTGTTTGCATTGTCAGTGCGAGACTGAACAGATCAGATTCATTGTCAGTCATTTCCTGAACTGTATTATTGCCGACCAACTAGCTCAAGAATATGGTGTTTGTATAGCAGTACTGTCCATGTTTGAATACTACGTTTACTACAGTCTTCCAATTGTTTTTGGAGATATTTTAAGTATATGATTCTTTAGAGGAAAATGCGGTGGCTTCCCATATTTCGATCGGAAAACAACTACAACTTTCACCTTTGTGGCGGCCGGCTCTTTGACAAGCTCAAGTTCTCCTACGTTAAAGTGCGCTGAAATGGAGGCCTCGCTTTCCTTTTCGCTCGAAATCGATTGATCTCACATGCGCGGCTGACCGCCATCGTTGTAAATTTTAGGCTTGTCTTCGGCCAACTCAAGTAATTTAAAAAACGCGATATGTACCTCTTAAAAAGCGACCACATGGCTTGCAAATGCTGTATGATAACTTAGTTAAATCCAATACACAGAACATATAAAGTTTTGGTCATTAAGGATTGTGTGCGATTCTAGCACCTGACCAGAAGGCAGAGATCCCATGAGATAGCACCATGCTTGCGCAAGTCATTGCACGGTTTGTGCTCAAACTCTTGGAGCATGGTTTTTCTACGCGAAAAACCTTTTTGACACGAATTGCTGGAGAGGTTAACAAAGTTAGCCTTTATTGGAGTCCAGCTTAAGCCCTAATGTAGTTGGGTGCCAATAACTCAGTGTGATTATGTCCGATCACGAAAACCACACAACTGACGAGCGTGTCCCTGAAACGTCAACGGACAGCGGCGCCTAGAATATGCCTTAAGCAAACGCTTTCGGGGATATGTTTAAAGCTGCCTTGGCTCCAGTTCTGAGCCGGCTGATGAACTTGAACGAGAATGCGAGCTCAGTGCTCCTGAACGGGCACGACGATTCCGATGAGGATGGTGAAACTGCCTCTAATGACGAGCCCGCCAAATCTGCGGACATGGATGCGGATTTATCCGCGCTCCTCGCCTCTGCGGGCAAAGATAACAATAACGAGGTTATGCCCGGCGGGCAAAGACCTCTTGAAGGAATTCGCGCAGGACTTAATTGTAAGCAAGACCTCTCCGTCCCTTCGCGAAGGACGGGCGGCCATTTTTTTATTAATCTTCTGTCAGAAAAGATGGGGCACGAGAAGCTCAAGGCCAAACTTGAAAGGTAACCTCGTCCAGAGAATGTGAAGGGTTTGCGAACTCCGAAAGTGAACCCCTCAAACTGGAGCCAGCTTTGGACTACCATAAATGCTCGAGATGTGAGATCGTAGAAAGGACCAAACCGTCTTATCGGCGCTTTTACAGCCATTACAAAAGCCACAGATTTGGCGCTGGGAATATTCAGCTAAGACAAAGAACTGATCACCTTGTTGACGGATACTGTTGCAGTGGCACTTCAATACAACCACGAGGTGAACCACTCCTGACGCCTGGCAATAAAGAAAGAGATGCATAAAGACTCTGCAGCGTTATGCAACCTATCCACTGTCAGGATGGCACCTCAGAGTACCTGTTTGGCAAAAAAGGTTTGCCCTTAAGAGCGTGTCCACGAGAAAACCGGGCAGAACCGGGTAAGGGCGATAAACCTCAAATCACCAATTTGGCTCAAACTTGGCACAAATGTTAAGTATCATGATTTAACAAATGTGTGAAAATAATTGATCAAAATATTTAATTCCTTGGGAGATATAGGGCCCTTCTGGGAAAACTCCCATGTCCTGCATTTTTTACATAATCAATTAGCTAACTTTGCATTGCTACTGTAACAAACTGAAAATCCATCTGTAAATTCAATTAAGTGGGTTGTATTGTATTCTATCAGAGTTCAAGAAAATTTAATTGTTTTAACTTTTTCCATTTTTTTTCTTCCCTTACCTCTCGCTTGAGTAAAGACAGCTTTTTCTGGTTTTGAAAAAGTCCAAAACTAAGGGTATTTTAAGGCCCGATATCTCCGAGGACCAACCACTTCTGATCATTATTCCTATATGGGCAGTGAAAGCCATCACTCGATGAGGGATTTATTATTCCACTATTTTTTAATGTTTTCAGTATTTTGATTTTAGTTTGTGAAATACATCCCACGGCCTTATCTGTGCATCGTGCCATTGCATAAGAAGTATGCTAAAGACAAAAACAATTACGAGCGATCTTTGTGATTACAAAAAACCCTGTTGCGCTCCAAAATCCGCTTCCTTTAAGTGAAGCCTAAAAAACAACAACGAAAGAAGAGTTCAAATCCTTCCGTTCGGCCGTTATGTTGCCTCGATATTTGCTGTGTTTTTACAGTGTTATACCCTGGCAAATTTTGTGTGTGCTCATCACCTTACTTACTTCGAAATTCCTCTTCCTCTTCAACTTCCGCGTTCCGATTCCCTTTTCTATTTCCCACCCTTCCTCCCTCCAATCATGTATGCTCCTAACGTGGGTTTCCATGGGAAAGGGTCACGAGAAAATTTACAACCCAGCCAAATGCATCGCAACTATCTCTCGTCAAACACGCCATCGTCAAACAGACGCTATCAGTATTGTAGAAAGGACCATGGCTTTAAAGAAAGTTTTATGCCTCCTTTTCATCTGTTTCTTCGCCTTGGGCAATGCTACCTCCTGTACCTACGACAGTGAGTGTTCCTTTGGTGATTCCTGTTGTACACATAAAGTCTGCAGAGAAAGATGTTACGCCTGTTTGTACGACTACCAGTGTGGAACGAAGGAGCAGTGCTGTAATGACAAATGCATCAGTAGCTGGTCCTCATGTTCATGTTCGTCCGACATCGATTGTGACCTTGGCGAGCAGAGCTATACATATAATTCGTACATTACTGTACATATACTTCGTCCTCTTGTTCCTGTTCGTACGACTACCAGTGTGATGTTGGAGAGGATTGTTGTGGGGGAGTTTGCTTGTCGACGTGTGGTTGGAAAGGCGGGTCTATTGCAGGCGCAACTATCTGTACAATTATCTTCTTTGCCATCATCATTTCTATTGCATCTTGCTGCTGCTGTGCTTGTTTCCCGTACTACCGCTATCGTACTCCCACTGCTGTAGTCGTCACCCAACGGCCGCAACAACAGTTCGTCTCAACTCACATGATGATGACGCAGCAAGTACAAGCTCCTCCGCCGCTTAACTACAATCAGCCTCCTCTAGATTACAGTCAGCCACCACCTGCTTATCGGCCACCCGATCCAACTCCGTATTCTCCGGCTCAGATTCAAGGACAAGCTGTTTCGATATCACCTCCTGGACCGGCCAAATACTAAGATGTCTGAAGCAAATCAACATGGAAAGAAACGGCCATTCATTCATGAAACGCATTAATGTACGACCTAGACTCTTAAATGCATGGTAGGGCGCACTTTCGCACTGAATATAATTTGTAGGTTGGAGTAGAATTATAGAAAAGTTATTATTGCCATCGCAAGGTCCTTATCCAATGGTCGATTTCTCGACAATAGGCTACAATCTCTAAGTTAGCTGAATTGCATGACAACCAAAGTATTCTTCCCGGAATTTCAAAGCAAAGTTTAAAGCGGAAGTTCGTCATTTACTTTCCTCTTTTTACGGATTTTTGCGCAAGAACAATTAGATCGATAGGTCACCATAGAGTCTGGGCCTTTGTTGATAGTGTTCCTATTTACTCTTTGAGAGCTAAAGA